ATAATATTGTCAAAAAAATGGATGTGGCAAAATATGGGTGGGCTTATTAATAAAATAAATAGATCTTCCATTTTGTTATTGCCTATTAATTATTCTTTAACTTTGTTAAAATTTTAAAAAATAAGTAATAAAATAAAATTAAAAAAATTAAAAGCTAAACTTACAATTCTTTAAAATTGTTAAGGCTCATTTGGTCATTTAACTTTTAAAATTAAAGAAAGATTTTTTGAAATTTTAAGAAGTTCATTTCAGAAGTCTTTTCAAAAAAATTTTGAAAGTCCCTTTTCTTAACCTTACAGGGAAGCTTTTGAAACGTGACCTCTCTTTATTTTATAACACCTATGATTTTTACACAAAAAGAAGCTACATGCAAATCTTTGATAAATTGAATTAATAATAGCTTAGTTCCCAACAAAATTTTTTTAAAATTAAATTGTAACAAGACATTACATAGACTAAACAATTAATTATGTTAATTTTTAATATTGATACTATTGAATTATTTATATAATCTTTGTTCAATATGTCAAATTTTATATTTTTATCCTTATTATTTAATATATCAAATTTTATGTTATTTAAAATTTTTATTACATAGTATATTTTTCAAACATTTCTAACATGAGTCATTTGTATAACATAAATTATAAATCGCAAGAGTCAATGTGCTTTTTAACAATTATACATTAAAAATCACTTTTTATAATACATAATTCAAGCAATTTTTTGTTTACCAATTGACTTTTAAAAAATATACTTAATATAAATTTTATTACAACAATTAATTTTTATTAAAATAACTTTTGTTAAATAATTTTTTAACAAACTGACTTTTAGCCAACAAAAAAACAAATATGCATTTAATATTTTACCACAAAAAGATCAAGAAATTTTGTTAACACTTTAAAATTAATTAAAATTTAATTTTAATTAATTAAAATGTACTCCCTTTATTAAAAAATATAAAATATTTTTAATAAAATTTCACCCCTAAATAAAAGTAGTTACTCACTTTTAAGTTAACTTCATCTTTTCATATTTACTCCTATTAAGTAACCAACAACTATAATATATATAAAGTCATTTATGAATAAGGATATTTTTTTAAAAAATAATGATTATATCTTAAAAAATTAAAAATATCTTATATTTTTTAACACTCAATTTTTTAAAAAATATTTTAAGTTTTTGATGTGTCATTCTTCCTTTTTAAGTCTTTATTATGTGCTTCCTGTGCTATTATTCTAACAAACAAGTAGTATATGACAAAAGAGGCATCTTCCTCAAATTTATTGAGAGAAATATGACTTTGTCTATTTTAGCAAATATTCCACGCGTCCGTTCAAAAAAATAAAAAATAAAAAAGTCCAGGGATCTAGAGGAAATCTCGGGGAAAGAAACCAGCAGAAAGATTCGAATCCATTGGGTATATTTTACCTTTTTAATTACGTCATAAAGATACTTTTTTGGCCAACATGTCATAATGACACTGACTAAATTAATTTAAAAACACTCGATCTTGGAAATCGCACTAAATAATGAAATTGCTTTTTTGTTTTGGGGAGAGAATACATTCAGTGATTCAGGCATAGCAAAAGTGAATTATTATCGTCAAGGAACCAAAGCATTTTGAAATTAATTAATTATTCTGAATAACCAGTTGGTCCTACACTTTATCTCATAATATTTTAACTATTTTAATTTGCTGGCCCTAAAGATAATATATTTTTTAGAAGGGAAAAATTATAGTTTAGTCTTGAAAGAGAAAATGAATCATGCATGGGTGCGCGGTAAAGTTTTCTAAAATATATGATAGTTAAATTCTTAATTAACTCTTGGTTTATAATTACGCCATTATTGTTGTTATCTAATTTATATTGCTGACCAAATTAGCTATGATCTTAATTTTTTTAAATTTTTACATATGTCCAATCATGCACTTAAATATAACAAAACTAATCTTTAACTTATTCAAAAAATCTTCATTAATTACTTAATAAAATAAGGGTGTAATTGAAAAATATATATAACACTTATCCAATACTTTATATTTTAGATTAAGAAAATTTTTTATAAAATAACTTATATTATGATTTGGAGGGAGTAAAATTTATATGTGTGATTGCCTGAATTAATATTTATAACTTATTTTTTAAAAATTTTAATAAAAATTTAACTACTATTAATTCTCTCTTTTTAAAAATATATTGTGACCCTTTGAAAGTGTCCAAATTAAAATATTTCTTTTTAGTTTATAAGACAATTTTAAAATTGATTCAACGACTTAAATTATACAGCAATTTGACAAAAATATTTATAAATTATTTTTTAAAATTTTTATAAACATATAGCTGCTATTAATTCCTCTTTTTAAAAGTGTACCGTGACCCTTTGTGAGTGTCAGAGTTAAAATACTCCCTCTTAGTTTATAAAACAATTTTAAAAATGATTTGGAGGCTTAAAATATAAGACAATTTGACAAAAATTATTTATAACTTATTTTTTAAATTTTTTATAAAAATTTAACTACTATTAATTCTCTATTTTTAAAAATGTATTGTGACCCTTTGTAAGTGTTGCAATAAAAATACTCCTTCTTAGTTTATAAAACAGTTTAAAATATGATTCAGTAACCTAAAATATAAGACAATTTAAAAAAAATAATATATCAAATATATTTTTTCAACGTTATCATTATTTTCTTATCATATTATCTTTTTTAATGTTATTAAATGAATATAATTTTTAAAAATTTATATTTTTTTAACAAATATGGTTATAAAATGTATATAATGAACTTTACTAATAGGTATAATTTTATATAAAATTATCTTATTTGGCCAAAAATTAAAAATTACCTTATAAATTAAGATAGTAAGAGTATCATGTATTCCTTCCAATCTCATTTATAAGTTACATTTTAAAAAATTTATTTGGTTCTATTTATAAGTTATGGTGTAACTTTTTAAGTAATATTTGAAATATATTTTCAAAGTTACCTGTCATGAAAGAGAAAAAATAATATGGTATTAATTTTTAAATTTGTTATATTAGGACATACTTCCTCTATCCCTATATAAAAGATATTTTTAATCGAATCACGCAAAATCAATAAAAGTTGGTTATGTAGTTAAAAACACAATAACATTTTAATTTATCCCTAATTATTATAAATAAAAATAAATTTATTTTTTAAAGTAAATTAATGAAAATATTTATCTTTTTCTCTTTTTAATTTAATAAGGGTATAATGGTTTATTTCTTTAAAAATATGCTAATAATATCTTATATTTAAGGATAAAAAAATTATAACCTCTTATATATAGAGATAAAGAGAGCATTTGAAATTATATATATTTTTATTTTTTATATTTTTATATTAATATTAATAAAGTTAATAAATATAATTTATAAAAAAGAATCGAAGGAGTAATAAAAAATAAAGGGAGGGATTGTTATTTAATTTAGGATAAAAGAGCAAAAATACCTATAAAGTAGTCAGCCACGAGCACCCAATATCCTAAAGTGATGAAAAAGGTAAAAATACTCATGACGTTATATGAATGGGTGTAAAAGTAATTAGACCGTTAACTTTGACTTAACATCGCTAACTTTGACCTTTAAATGCTGACTGTGCATGCCATGTGACAGTCTTTGCTGATATGGACTAAAAAAATGGCAAAAATACCCATGAAGTCATTGGCTAGGGGCATAAATATCCATAATGTTATCAAAGTTGGTGTAAAATTGACCAATCTATTCAATCTCTTAAATGTAGACTGTTTAACTGACATCTAAGTAAAAGTTGACTATTTTTTTCACCAATGTAAATAAAAAATATTTCTAGATGAAATTCTCTAAAAGTTAATCGATTATTATATAAATATCATGTGAAAAAATATCATTTTGACTGAATATCAAATTAAATTGCTTGTTTCTTTGCAACGGTGGTGAAAATCATTTGAAAATTTTGAATTTATCGTGAATGAAATTACTTAAGATTGTGAAAATGTTTTTAAGCTATATGTGCTCACTCTCAATCTTTAATGTTGAACAACCTATCTTACTATATTAAATCTTAGGTTTTACAGACAAGAAAAATGAGTGGAAAAGGAAAAATGAAGGGGCAAAATACGTGGTGATGGAAAGAAATCATATGGCATTGATTTTGACGGATTGGTCACTATTGCACCTACTAAAGTAACATTATAGGTACTCATACAATGATCAATCAATATTTGTAAAAATTCATCTTGGAATATTTTTTGTTTACATCAGCAAAAAAGTAGTTAATTTTTACTTAAGTGTCAGTTAAACGGTTAATATTTAAGAGATTGGATGGATTAATCACTTTTGCACCAACTCTGATAACATTATAGATATTTTTGCCCCTGGCCAAGTGGCCAATGACTTCGTGGGTATTTTTACCCATTTTTTAATTCACGTCAGCAAAGACTGATACGTGACATGCACAGTCAGCATTTAACGGTTAAAGTTAATGATGTTAGATTAAAATTAACGATATGATTATTTTTACACCTATTAATATAATATTATAAATATTTTTATTTTTTTCGTCATTTTAAATTATTGGGTGCTTGGATTGATCATTTTGTAATTATTTTTGCTTTTTTACCTTCTAATTTATTGGACATTATTTTCTCCTTTCACGCCCCTTTCCTCGCGGCTTCGCTAGCCGACAAAGCATATCCATGATCCACCCGCAAAGCGTCCCTGTGGTCCTCCTTCCGGTGACTGGTCGGATTCAACGGCCGTACCGTCACGAGGAATCTGAACCCACCAAACCCCAGTGACCTCGAAAGTTTGAATGTTATTATTTGTCAGTTGAATCTTGAAAACGGACCGGTTTGGGTCTCGCCCAACCCAACCAACCAACGCGAACCGATTTTGGTCTCGAGGCACAGCCACAAGTCCCCAACCACGTCAACAAACCCGCCTTTCTTATCTGTCTATAAAAACAAGCCTTCCTCTTCCTCTCATTCTGCAGCATCATCAATCCAACCCATATCGCATTCTCTCTCTCTTTCTCTGTGCATCTACCCTGCCTTTTCTCTCTTGGATTTCCCTTCTGGTTCTGCGTCTCGGACTCTGATAGGGAGGCCTTGTATCACCGGAGAAAGTCGCACCTTGCCTCGTGTTTAGTTGCTCGGCGGTCATCAGAATAGGAGAGAAATCGAGAGAGATTATTCAGGGGGATAAAACCCAGTGTTGACGCGTTGTAGACATCACGGCTATTCTTAGAGGTTCTCGGCTTCTCATTCATGTCCGTTCTGTACGACGGAAGGGTTGCGTAATCGTGACCAACCCTTCGCCGCACGGCGGGCGCGGTGCATTGCCTTCCGAAGGCGGCAGCCCTTCTGACCTCCTCTTCCTCGCTGGTGGTGGTGCTTCTTTCTCTTTCTCTTCGTCAGTAGTAGTTAATTAGTTTAGGTCTTTAGTAGTACTGAAGATTCCTAAGGTAAGTTAGTAAAAAGCAATAAGATCTCGTTGAAGGCTTCTGGTTGTCGTCGAGTTTGGTTTGTTTGGTTTTAATTTGACTGAAGAAAAGACCAAAGATGTTGAGAATTAAGAGGGTTCCCACCGTAGTTTCAAATTATCAGAAAGAGGAGGCCGGAGAGGCTGCTGGCCGTGTAGGGGGTTGCGGTCGTAATTGCCTCAAAGAATGTTGCGTTCAAGGTATAAGTCAAAATTCTCTGTACTTCAATTGTGAGTTAAATTTGAGCTTATTGATAATCATGCATATGATTTTCATATGGGTTTTGGGCTCATTTGGGGTTTTTTTTGGAACAGAGGCCAAACTTCCTTTATATGCATTCAAAAGGATTCACAAGTTTAACGGAAAGGACTTGTCTGAACCTGAATGCAGGGAGCCCCCAGTGGCTTTTCTTGACTCGCTTATTCTAGGAGAGGTAATTGTAAATGTGGATGAGGAAGAATTGAAGATCAATTACCATATTATGTTCCTTTGCACTATTTGTATTATCGTGTTGTGTGAAGTTGTTTACCATTTCATGGTAGTGGGAAGATCGGTCGCAGAGAGGGCTTTTTCGCTATGACGTTACTGCTTGTGAAACCAAGGTCTGATTCTGATTGTATTGTTTCTAATTGTTTTTTCATAGATGAGTATGTAGGACTTGAATCCATACTGATGTAATAATTTTGGAATAGGTGATTCCGGGGGAGTGTGGTTTCATTGCCCAGCTGAATGAGGGTCGTCACCTCAAGAAGCGACCCACTGAGTTCCGAGTTGACAAGGTGCTCCAGCCGTTTGATGGAAATAAGTTCAATTTCACTAAAGTTGGGCAAGAAGAGATTCTGTTTCAGTTTGAACCCAGTGATGGTGGTGAAGTTCAGTTCTTTCCTAATGCTCCAATTGACGTTGAGAATTCTCCCAGTCTTGTTGCCATCAATGTATGTTTCTTAGCTGTTGTTTCAGATTCTTGTTCTTGGGGGTTAATTTTGAATTAACATCTCATGGAATTCTGTTCATTTATTTCTCTCTTAACAGGTCAGTCCTATTGAGTATGGGCATGTGCTGCTGATTCCTCGAATTTTTGAGTGCTTGCCTCAAAGGATTGATCGGGAAAGCTTCTTTCTTGCACTTCACATGGCAGTAGAAGCTGGGAATCCATATTTCCGTTTGGGTTACAACAGCTTGGGTGCATTTGCAACTATCAACCACCTTCATTTCCAGGTACTGGTTGCTGAAGAACTTGACATAATTTCTCAACATTCTTGTAAATTATTGTATTGCTTATCGAGTGTTTGGCCCTCAATCAAATTGCAATTTTGATGGTTTTGACATGACCAGGCTTACTATTTGGCTATGCCTTTTCCCATTGAGAAGGCTCCCTCCAAGAAAATAGCCACTTTAAATGGTGGTGTCAAGATATCCGGATTGCTAGGTTATCCGGTCAGAGGCCTTCTCTTTGAGGGCGGTGATACTCTGGAAGATCTGTCAAATGCTGTTTCAGATGCCTGCATCTGCCTTCAAGACAACAACATACCTTACAATGTTCTTATTTCTGATTGTGGAAGGCTAATCTTTGTCCTGCCACAGGTGAAACTTTATCTTAAATGTTGAGAAAGCAGGAATTGAAACCTTACAGCCTTACAAACACTTACTTTGCTTGCAACCACATTCATCAGCTGCATCAGCTCACATAGTTTGTCTTCTAAATGAACAGTGCTATGCAGAGAAGCAAGCTCTTGGAGAAGTGAGTGCAGAGCTGCTCGACACCCAGGTAAATCCGGCTGTATGGGAGATTAGTGGTCATATGGTGTTGAAGAGGAAGACCGACTATGATGAGGCGTCAGAAGCCAAGGCTTGGAGGCTTCTTGCAGAGGTCTCCCTCTCAGAAGAGAGGTTTCAAGAAGTTATCGCCCTCATCTTTGAAGCCATTGTTGCCACTGTTGAGCTGGAAGCCAATTCTGAATCTCCGGAGGAAGTCAAGGCAGCAAACTCACGCCGCTGCCCATCCATGGCGGCCGGCTCACAAGAATGTCTTGTACTCCAGTAAACAAGGCTCTGATGAACACTTTCACTGTGATTCTGTTGTAAAATTAGCTACTTTATGCTTCAGATTAAGTCAGTACCCCCTTCATGTTTCGCTTATTTAGTTGTAAACTGAGTTTGCTTTGTAGTGCTGTGTGTGTGTATCTTGTGATCATTGGCACTGTTATGCTTGGCTATGCTTCAATGTCTCTGAAGAACAATTGTGTAATAACTGGTGCCGTAAGCACTTGGTAATGTTAAATGATTGTGTGTATGATTATGCTTTTTTAACTGTTATCTCATCTCTTGTTTATTCTCGCCCTTGGAGAAGATAAATCCTTGGAGAAACTTGGCTTGTTTAGATAAAATAATAGATGAAATCATATTTGAATAAATATACCTGTAATGAGTTTCAATGAAGCACTAATGATTTGTTGAGCTTGTTTATAATTAAATTAACAGATAGTTGGATCTTTTATTGTTTTATTTAGTCCTTGGTTGTTGTCGGTTGAGGGGTTCCCTTGATACCACCAAAAATTAGTTATAAAATTTTTACAAATCGAGTTTGATTAAGATGTCGATGACAGATTGATTGCCTTGAGAGTTGAATCACTATATTTTAGAGAAAGCGCAGTGCTGATTTTAGGGAAGATATTGAGACTGGCCTGTAGAGTATGGTGTTAGGTAAGCACATGATTCACATGCATAACGTAATATCGGAAATAGCATCGGCCAGATTCGGTTGTAGAAACAACACGCTCCTAGTACCCAAAAATGTACAATACCCACTAGTACGCGTCACAGAGACGCTTGATAGCGTAATAATAATGTGCTGTTTGTTCTTTAAAAAAACCATTTTATTTAGTTAATGTAAATGTCAAGCGTTATTTAAAGAGGAGGTTGCGTTTATTTTACAACTTTTTCAAATTTCTTGTTTCAAAAGGATATTGTGGTATTTTTCATGCATGTGAAAAAAAAAAACCAATCCAACGTGATTCCTTCACGCCTTTAATAATTCGGTGAGTAAACATAGTTTATGGGGCGCAACTGAAGCCAAGTTTGTGAAGAAAGCCAACCCACTTTGATTATTTAATTTTTAAATTAAAGAAATAATTAAAAAAAGAAAGGAGTAAAGATATAAGGAAAAATATCATTCAAGGACCACCTAGCACATTTAATATCAAACAAGGACAAAATTTTGTTAAATATTACTGTAAGACTAAGGGATTTATTTGAAAATAATTATAGATAAGAAAAAACTACAATGCCCCTACTTTTCTTTTTTTAACTAACAAGTACTCCCTTTGCTTGTTAGAGAGATTATCACTTTTAACCTGTATTTTTTATAAGCAAAATAACCTATTTCAATGAATATTTATTGTATATTTCTTAAATCACTTCTTATAATTTACATTAACGAGAAATAATTAATATATACTTATGTTGATTAACACAGACCATTTTAGTTCACTTTTTTATTTTCAAACATAATTATTATAGTTAATCGACTTTATTAAACTGTGTGTGATATAATTTTTTCTCTTATATGTAAAAATGAAAGGAGTAACTATTTGTATTTAATAAAAAATCATTTGTCAATTGACAAGTTCAAAAATCTAAAAGAGTTTGGTTGTGGGAATGGATAAATATAAATCATGTTTTAATAAATAGCCATTCGATAATTAACAAATATCCATTCATGTTTAACAAGGAGTCATTTGTTAATTGACAAATTTAAGAATTTGAAAGAGTTTGATTATGTGAAGGAACGAGTGTAGATTATGTTTTAAAAAATAGTTATATGTTAATCAATAAGTACTCATTTTTATTTAGTAAGAAGTCTTAGTTAACTGACAAATTTAAAAATCTGAATTGTTAATTAACAAGTTTAAAAAAGAAAAAGAAAAGTTAGGTTATTATAGTCATTTCCCATTTAAAATTATTTTTAAATCAGTCCTTTGCCCTATAGTGATATTTCAAAACTTATTGCTCTTATTTGATATTAAATATGACCAGTGTTTCTTGAACGATATGTCCCCAAGAAAAATTCCACTTACAGCATTTGATATGCGTTTATCCCGGTGCCTTTTTTATTTTTTCGTGTTAGCAAATCATCTAAGATCAAAAGGCAATAGCTAGGATTAATTCAGATCGAGTCATGTTGAAAAATTTTCAAGTGGAAGCTCTATTATCAAATTATGCTGTATTTGCAAGAGAACACACAAGACTTCTAATTAACCTGGTATAACTTTTTTATTTGTTGAACCGAGTGCTTGGTGGCATCTTTTTATTTTAGTATTGTAAAATTGAAGATATTATCTGTCAACCTGTTTTAATAACTCTTTTGGCCCCAAAAAACCAAAAAAAGATGAGAGCTCTTGTTACTTACATTAATTTGAGTTGGTTATACTTTAACAATAACCCTTACTCGAGACGTTTCATCATCACCGACATGTCCAAACAGATCCTTGCAATCATTTTTTTTATTAGCTGCAAAGTGCATTCGCTAATTATTATTGTTTATTAATCAGTTGATGTATCAAATGATTCTTGGTGTGATGTGTGACCATGACAATAATTTTTTTCTTTTCTTTTCCAAGTTCACGTTCCATGATGTGAGCACAGGCTCCGTTTAATGTGGCATATCCATAAGGTTTTAAGGGGTTATTTATGATGGCATCAAGAGTGGGAGGGTCAAAAAACAGGAGAGAATATTTTGGCTATTAGATTTCATTTACTTTAATTCAGTCAAGCTTTTATATTTTTAATCGATTTTCATATTTATTTTCTACGTATTTTAGTTATTTACTATTTTAAGCTTTAATAACTTATTATGAACTTAAGTTATTTATTAAGGTTTTCATATTAGCGTTTTTAGAAAGTTTTAGTTGACTTAAGAGTCTTTTTATTTTTTTTAAATACCACTCATATATAAATGGCATAAGGAGAGAACGCATGGAATAAAGAAGTCATTTCTTTTTAACAAACTTCACTTATTTATTGATATTCAGGATTAAATGTGATGTGGCTTTTCAGGCAATCATTGCATTGAGAGTTCAGAGATCTTATACGTGATATCAACTCTTTATGTGAGTATTTTCAATTAGCGTGTTCTCCATAAGATAAAATATTATAGGACTTTAGATTATCGTGTGGACTTCCGTATCATTCTATCAAGCGGTTTTGTTTTTAGCATTTTTTTGGGGGACAAAGTTGCTAAATTTCTGTTAATACACATGTTGCAAACTAACAGCGTCTGCGAATTTTTTTTTTAATTTGTTTAGTTTTATGTGAGAATTTAGAAATCATGAAAATTATGGGTTTGATAGAAACACAAACGTAACGTAGTTCCGTTTTCTTACTTTAAGACATGCTTTTGAGTTTGGAAGCATTAGAACTCGGCGAAAACAAACACGCAAGGTAGTTTCGATTACCGTATTATTATTATTTTTGGGGGGGCTAAGTTTCGATTACGTTTTACTTTACTTTTACAAGGAAGTGGTCTTGCATTCATCATACAATGTTTCCATTAATTACGGAAGCTTGCATGACATTGAGTTATATATAACCCCGAAAGAAGTTTAAGTCATATGATATCCCTTTTTTACGTTACATTTTTATAGTAACTGAATTATATATTTGTCTAGAAATTTATAGAAAGTTTAGTGGTTTATATACAAAACATATTTCTATTATGTGTGTGTGTGTGTGTGTATCAAGAAACTGCTATGCCCAAAAAATGTTTCTACATAAAACATTTCTATACTATTCCCAACTAAAAATATTATTAATATGACTCATTATTTCCTTCTTTGGTCGCCATGATTATCAGTCACATATATCCTTAAATCGCCATTTCCCTCTCACCTTGTAATTCTTTGATAATAAAAAATTTCTGCTTTCCTCGATCATCGTTCCTGCATCACCCAAAATGGCTCTTCAAGAGTCGAAATTGCTAATGTTGTTTCTGCTAATACTTTCCATCAAAATAGACGCGACCTACGAGCATGCCACAAGCGGTACTGTTTCGTCTTCGTCGTCGTCATGGCTGAAGAAAGTTGCTCACCGGCCAAGACATATTGGGTGTTCGAAAAGACCATTGATGTGCAGCCGAGGAGAGTTCCCTCCGAGGAGGCTGTGTTGCAGAAATCGCTGTGTCGATGTGAAATCAGACAGAAACAATTGTGGGTTCTGTGGTGTGAGATGTGTCTTTAACATGCAGTGTTGTGCAGGTTTGTGTACCGACACAAACATCGACCCTTTCAACTGTGGTTCCTGTGGAAATGTGTGCTCCCTCGGGAACTTGTGTGTGTTTGGGTTGTGTGGTTACGCACAACAACCACCACCACCTCTACCACCGTCGTGTCCTCCAACGCCACCGTCTCCACCACCGCCATGTCCTCCAATATATGCTGCCAGTACGGTTAGAAGTTCATCATCAGCCCTCTGAACTTTAATAAATTAAGTTCAAACGCAATCCACAAAAGAAGATCAAATTGATAATGAATATCTATGGATCGTTTAATTTGTTTGCATTACTCACATTTACTAAGATTCATTTTTTATGTGCTTATTATATATGATTTTAATTTCTTCCAAACATTTGTCTTCGATATATAAATTAAAAAGTTTAGTTATTAATACCTATGCATGAAGCAAATGTTATTTCGAACATAAATATGGAGATACCAATCTCTGTATTCTGGAATCATATGTGGTCACCATTAATTGACACATGCATATGAGGGAACAATTTTTTGTTAATATACTTGTTGGGTTTAATTGTATTTATATTATTTATTTGTGGTTGCTTCATTATATTCTTCCATTGTAAGACAAGCAAGGAAGTTAGTTACTTGAGCTTATTAATGCATTTGGACGTTACTCGATCATCTTCATAGATATATGGATCAATATCGCATTCGATGATTGATATTTGCAAGAAAATGTTTCATCATATGGGTGATCATATCATAAATTGATTCCTCCCCAAGCAAGCTACAGATAAATATGAACGTGGTGGAAGAGGAAGAGGGAAGACCAATGTTAGGACCCGTGGGGAGCTCCAAAGTCCGATGAAAACAAATAAGTTGAAAGTAATGGAATAACACTACATCTTAATTCAAAATTTCAAAATTTAAATTTATTTATTATATATTATTTATTATGCCTAATTTTATTATCCAATATGAAAATTTAAGGGTCAATTTAATTTATTATATATTATTTATCAAGTCTAATTTGATTTAGCTGAATTTATTAGACAAAAGAAGAAAAAGTTAATTTTTACAACCCATTCTTTTCGGTGCAACAATATAGAGATAGTGATGAGGAGAAAGAACCAAAAAGAAGGTGGGATAACAATACGGACTCAATTGCATTATTTTGGTGTAATTGCAAATAACATTGCATCATAGCTCAGTGCTATATCATTTTGGCTAAATGCAATAGGGAAGAAGAATGCAAGTGGCGTGACTACTTGAGATAGAAAGATGAAGATTATAATGAAGAACACCCAAAAAAAAAAAAGAAACAAAAAATATGGAAGGATATAACCTATAATCGGGCTCTGACATACCAAATCATAGTGAAGTAGGTAATAATAATTCTCATTTTGAGAGGAGAGAATTCAATTTTGGACATTGAATTTGTTAAAAAAATGTTTAGTGTGATGTGTATGGCAATACAGTGAAAATGATTCCAACAAAATATCAATTAGTGAAACAACAAATTGACTGTAGTATTTTAGAAGTGTCTGATATCACTATTTCCCAATATGTTTTTTGTGTGTGTAAGATATTTTGAATGAATCAACGGTCAAAGGAATTTTTATAGATGGATTCTCGGTAGTTTTGGGCAAGAAAAGGTCAATTTTTAAGGGATGATACTCTTCCATATACAAAAAGTTTTTGAGAGAAACCAAAGGACGGTAGGTTGGTGGAGCATATTAAATTTAATTTGTAGAAATGGTTGAAAGAGATTTTTAAGTCATCGGTAAAATCGTACCCTAAATATTCTCATAATAATTGGACAAAGAGACATTGCAATATTTGATGAATGAAAGATGTATAATATGAAATATGCGAATATAGAACAGTTCCATTAGACCCTGGGGATAACGACAATTTCATTGTATTATTTATTGGCAACCTAACAAGGCTGAAGTGAGTGCGTTATGCAAGGTATAAATTAGAATTATAAGTAATTTTCAATATTTAAAAGTGAAAAATCCAAAATCATTTCAAAAAATCCAAAAATATATATTTAAAAGTGGTTTGAGAAGTAGTACTGTGAAGGAATATTAGATTGCACATCTCCACAGATGCTCTTAGCCAATATTTTGTGTTGATATCAGTTGTCTAATTTTGTGGAGCCTTAAAACAAGAAGTGTGCTGTGTAACTAATAAATTCATAGTCCTAGGTGGGACCAGGCATATATAATGACTCTCTACTCTACATTTGTATTGCGCAACTCTGTTTCTTTCATTGCAGATGATAAGTGAAAATATGTAAAAAGTATGAAGTTCCATTCCAAGATGATTCTTTTTCTGTTCTATTCTGTTATCATGGCTTCACATTGAGACGTCCATCAGCATATTAAACCCTTTATATTAAATATATTTAAGAATAATTTATTTTATTAAAATAATTTAAATCATTTAATTAAATATATCTTAAGATATTGATTTATTTTTAGACGTGGGGCATCTTTGACTTTGTTATTTTTAGTATTCCCTCTACAACATTTTTCTTAACTTTTTTTTTCTTTTTTTTTTTGTTTGAGTTTGTACTTTTTTATAGCCTTAGAGTACTAAGATCTTCTTCCTCTTCCTCTTCCTCTTCCTCTTTTTAATTTTTTTTTTCATCTTTCATTCTTTCATTCCTTTTTTCCCCATTTTTTTTTCCACATTTTTTGTCTTCAATAGAATGGCTCATGATATCATGTTAAACTCTTTATATTAAGTACATTTGAAGATAGTCGATTTCTTTCACCAAAATTGTTTAAACCATTTGGTTAGATACATCCTAAATTTTATATATTCTTAATTTATTTTTTTAGTTTTTAGATGTGGGACATCTTTGGTTTCTTTATCTCTAACACAACCTATCTTACTTAAGCCAAAAGTAATTTGAAAAAAAGGCCTAGAATTAAGATAGAATGCCAAGCCAAAAAAGAGAATATGCCAGTCAGCTAATAAAATTACAATAAAATAAAAATTAAAAATATTATTTTTTAAGATAAAAATTGAATTAGCTTAAAAAAAATAAAATAATATTTAATAATTTGATACTTAGGCCTCTTGAATAAATCCACAAGTCTAAGGTGTTAGAGTTGGATTTAATTGGATTTAATTATATAAGTTTTTTCATATGTTCTGGTACTTTAAGAAAAATATATTTTAAAACTTGGGGTAGTTCAAGCAACATTTTCAACCTACACCAATGGAAGGCAACAAGACAAAGTTCAGTTGAAGGTTTTCATGAAAACAAGAATGCCAAGACATAGATGAATCCACAGCCGACGGTCAAAACAATGCCAGAAATATTTTTATAAAGGCCAACCAAATGACGTGTGTGTGTGTGTACAATATTGCATATTAAAGAACCACCTGCTATAGCTCCCATTTGTTTGAAGTTTGAGGCTCAAGGTCTCTGTTCATTTCTTGAGCTACTCAAAATGGAAGAGAGTAAAGTTGAGGGAGATAGTCATCATTCAGCACCACGGAAGCATTATCATGTGTTCCTCAGTTTCAGAGGAAAAGATACGCGCAGGAGTTTTACTGACCACTTGTATGCTGCGTTGCTACGAAAAGGGATCGTTACTTTTAAGGATGACAAAGAACTTGAGAGAGGACGAGTCATCTCGGAGGAACTCATGAAAGCTATCGAGGGCTCTCTGTTTGCTATTGTGATTTTATCCGAAAACTATTCTTCTTCCTCATGGTGTCTGGATGAGTTGCAGAAGATTGTGGAATTTAAGGAGGATTTTGGCCTCATAGTTTTTCCAGTATTTCATGGCGTCAATCCGTCTGATATACGACACCAGAAAGGAAAAATTGGAAAAGCTTTTGAGAAACATGAAGCCAAATTTGCACAAGACAAAGAAAAGGTGCAGCGATGGAAAAAAGCTTTGACTCTTGTCAGCAACTTTGGTGGCTGGGACACCAATGATCGGTATGTTCTTTCACGGGGCAACCTTATTTATAAATATTATATATGATAGGAAAAATATATCTATTCCTCTTAGTGTGTTTTGATATTAATCACTATTCTTTCTTTCTTTGTTGCTCCTTATTTCTTAAGTTTCATTTTCTACAACACTACAGCATTAGTTTTTATTGTCATTGACAGATTTAAATCTGCTGATGTGTATATAAGTATGAGCGAAAAAGCTACTAACCTTTCTGTCTTTTTGCCTTAACCGTTGCATTTTCTTCCTATAAAGTTTTGCTTATCGTGCCTAAGATTCTGATTTAATGTCCTGCTTTTCTTTTTGGCCTTATATTCATTTTTTTTTAGACAATTCAATCATAATATAAGAAGTTAACTTGAGTAACATACTTTATATGCATATTAGTCATCATTAAATCCTTATGGTCATATTTAAAAATAACTTGATTAGTGTTGTATATGAATAAAATTGAAGTAATTAGGAGCAACAGAATAGAATATAAAGACTAGTACCAAAACACATGTTAAAGGTATGGAGTCCAAAACTTGTTTTTTTCCTATAAAATGCATAATAGAGTATATGTAAATCAGTAAAATTACTGTTTTATTTTTGTGTATGGCTAAAATTACTGTTTTATTTTTGTGTATGGCAGGCATGAAGCGGATATCATTGAAGAAATCGTTGCAGCATTATGTAGTCGACTGTGTGTTCAGATGCCATCTAAGTTTGATCACTTAGTTGGAATTCAATCCAAGGTAAAAAAGATGATGTCTCTTCTAAGATTAGGTTTAGATGATAAATGCTTCGTTGGCCTATGGGGAATGGGTGGAATTGGTAAAACAGCCCTTGCAAAAGCTGTTTACGAGACAATTAAGTGCAAGTTCAATACTTATTGCTTTCTTGCAAATATCAGGGAGGAATCAGAAAGAATAGGTTTAGTTGGCTTACAAAGGAAACTTCTTTCTCGTGTCCACCAAAACAATATTGAGATCAATGACTCAGACGAAGGAACGGTTGCAATAAGACACTTTTTATCCAATGAAAAAGTTCTTATTGTTCTCGATGATGTGAGTCACATAAATCAACTGGACAATTTGGTCGGAGACAAAGATTGGTTTGGTGATGGAACAAGAATCGTAGTAACTACTAGAGACTTGCACTTATTGGTGTTGCATGGCCAATTCACTGAGTACAAGATTAGAACTTTGAGTAACCGACGCAGCCTTAAGCTCTTGTGTCAAAAAGCGTTTAAAAAGGACGAACCTGAGGAAGGTTATCGAATGTTGTCGGAAAAAATAGTTGAATATTGTGGTGGTCTTCCTTTGGCACTTCAAGTGTCAGGTTGGTTTCTCTGTAAGAGAAGTCAACGTGAATGGAGAGACACGTTGAATATGGTGAAGCAAAATTTGCACAAGGATGTTCTCAAAACACTTCAATCAAGTTATGATGAATTAGAATACGAAGAACACAAAGCAATGTTCTTAGATATTGCTTGTTTCTTCAAAGGAAAAGAAAGAGTTGAAGTGATGAGAATATTAGAAAACTGTGGTCTTCACCCCACAATTGGAATCGACGTCCTTATTGAAAAATCCTTGATAAGCCCCAAGTCCTGGGGCAGTGGCAAAGGTTGTCTACACATGCATGTTCTTCTTGAACAGATGGGAAAGAGCATTGTCATGCAAGAATCTCCAAAAGATGCTTCTAGACGCAGCAGGTTGTGGTCTCGAGAAGAAGCTGATAATGTGTTGAAAGGAAATAATGTAAGCACAATGATGTTTTTAGTGCACACTGCTGAATTCAGTTAATTTAATACAATATTGCTTTTATGTTTACGCTGAAATTATTTGTGCTTCTCTTCTAATTATACATCATAATATGTGTGTGTGTGTGTGTGTGTGTGTGTGTGTGTGTATCAGGGAACAGAAGCTATTCAAAGCATAGTCTTGAACTTGGAAGAACCATACATGGCAGATTGGCACCCAGATTGCTTCTCAAATATGAGTAATCTAACATTGCTTTACCTAAGTAATGTGCACATTTTGCATTGTCTGAATTTTCTTCCTAGTTCTCTGAAGGTTCTTATATGGGATAGATATCCTTTGGAAGCTCTGCCACATAATATTAACCAATTAGGTGAACTTGTAGAGCTTACATTGCATCAAAGCAAAATCAAACAACTTTGGAACGGAACACAGGTAACTGTCCTCCTCACTCTTAACTAACAAAAAACTGAAGCATTATTTGTAATCCTGCCACTGAGTTTTCAAACGAGAAAAAAAAAATTGATGCATCTTTTTGTTGATCAGTTGTTAGGTAAACTGAAGTTGATCAATCTGAGTTATTCTGAGGATTTGATTCAGACGCCAGATTTCAATGGAGTTCCAAATCTTGAATGCTTGCTTCTTGAAGGTTGTAAGAGCCTATTTATGGTTCATGAATCTCTTGGGCAGCATAAGAAACTGGTAAAGTTGAATTTGAAGGACTGCACAAGCCTGAGAATCCTCCCCAGAAAGTTGGAGATGAATTCTCTGGTGGAGCTTCTTCTTTCTGGATGCTCAAAACTTCAGAAGCTTCCCAAATTTGGAGAAAATATGAAAAATCTGTCCACATGCGATGTGAGTGAGACCAATATAAGAAAAGTACCTTTCTCCATCATTCATCTGACAAATCTCAAAGAGCTATCTCTTCATGGATACAAAGGGCCATATTCCTTCTCACTCTCTGGATTCTCTTCCTTGAAAAAATTGGATTTAAGCTTCTGCAACTTGTGGAATCCATCAATCCCTCATGATCTGCGAGGCTTATCTTCATTGATAGAGTTGGATTTAAGGGGAAACCAGTTCTCTAATCTACCTTCTGACTCCATCTCTAATCTTCTCAACCTTGAACGCCTTTATCTCAGTGACTGTGCGAGGCTTCAATCACTTCCCAAGCTTTCACCAAACTTAATTAGAATATTTGCAAGTTGCTGTCCTTCAATGAAACCCTTAAAAGACATGCAACATCTAGTTTCATCACTTGTCTGCAAGGTCTGTGATCTCTCTGAAACTGTGTTTTTTTTTTTTTCCTGTGAATCATGTTCAATTATTAAAAGAGGTCATATCTTTATCATCATTACAGCGTCGTAGTGATCTTCTACATGAGGTAATTTTCTTGCGTGTGCCTGGGGATAAAATCCCAACTTGGTTTAAAGAGAAAGAACATTGTGTACATTATGCTTCTCACGAGTTTGAGGCAAATATAGCTATAAAAGTAGACACTTCTGATAATGATGAGAGGCAATGGTGGGGAATTGCAGTGTGCCTTGTGCTGAGAAAAAGAAAGGCATCATTTTTCTGTATAAGAAGCGATCTACGTTGGGGTTTCAAAGATCCTAACGAAGAAGAAAAACAGGTCAAGAAATCACTGTTTGGGAGTGCAGATTCAAATCCTCATCTCTGTATAGCAATTTTTCCCTTTAATAATTTGAGTTATAGGCAACAATGTCATCTAAGAGGGAAAAGTCAGGCTCAGCTTCAACTACATTTGAGAATTTGTGGAGGTTTGAATGTAGAAGTGCACTGTGGATGGCGCATAATATGTAAGAATGATTTTTTTGAAGGGTAAATTGTAAATTAGGAAGTGCCATTTACATGCAAGCAGTAGCATGCAGGCTGAGCATATATTGGCTATGAAATTGAAAAGTGATATGCTTTGTGACTTTGATTATTGATATATTGTGAATTATGTGTGGGTAATTTGTTGATTAACATCTATCTATATGGTAAAATACATCGGGATACTATAGACCAATAGTTGAATGAACAGTGATTTTCCTTATTTATCCTTATTATTGTCCTTTTGTGCTGTAAACTATGTCAGCATTGGGTAGACCTATCAATTAGTATAGGTCCAGCCCTTTTAAGCTTAAAAAAATCTAGAGCCGAGCTGTGCTACTTTAAAATATAAAATAATAATTTGAATTTAAAAGGGTCAGCCCTTTTATAATTTTTTTAAAATTTTAACATTAAAAAAATTAAATATTATACTAATTTTAAAATTCTAAACTCATTTTATGGGAATGAAAAAAGAATATATGAAAAACTTAATATGATTGCCACTGTTGGTGCTCCACAAAGAGAAGGATAAAATTATATTGATGTTGATAACAATAAAATCATCAATATTTCACTAATTACGGTAGCAAAATTTGATTATTATCAATGTTGATTTTGTGATGTTATTTTTTATTAGACTTAAATTTGTTTTTATAGATTTAATTTTATGTGTAATAATTTTTTTAGAATTTAAATATATATTTTTAAATTTTTATATTAAAAAATAAAAATATATATAGATTCAAGGCCTTAAGGGCTAGCCTTTCAACCATAAGGGCCAAAATCGAGCTAAGCAAAATAAAACTCTAAAATATAATTGGACTTTACAAAGTCAGCTTATTTAGACCCTAACCCTTCAAGAAGGCTGGCCCAATCCTAATTGATACTTTTAGCATTAAAGGGCCGGCCAGGCCCTAAGGCGCCTCTGGCATCGAGGAACAAATATCTACCATTTAAAACAAATAGAAAAACCAGAATCAAAGGACTTTAGAGTCACAAACAAACATTCAATAAATAGAATTAATAAAATTTAACTCAATTTAAACTCAATAAAAAAAAAAGGAAAGCTAATAAAAATAGTAATGAATGAAGTTAGAGAAGATTAACTGAAGGAAACAAAAGCAAAATGCAAACCAAAAATTAAACCATCAAGCATTTTTCAAAATGAAAATGAAAACATATACTCCCTCCGTCCAAAAATATAAGACATTTTTTAAAGAGTTAGATATTAAAAAATATAATATATTTTTAGTCTTTTAAGGTATAATTATTGCATTTTTTTTTCAAAAATGCCCTTATTGATAATGACTTTATATTTATTGTAGAATGTTTAATATGGGTAAATATGAAAAGATAGAGTTAGTTTGAAAGTAGATAACTACTTTATTGAGGCTAAAATTTAGTTAAAAATGTCTTATATTTTTAAAGGGAGGGAGTAGGATAACCCAACAAAATTCAAAAACAAATAATTTTGCAAAATATCCTCACATATATAGAAAGAATCAATGAATATTCTTTCTCCTTTGTAATTTGCGTTGGATTGGCACTCTACAATGCCATCCGACGCAAATATTTTTTTTATAAATTAAAATTGTTTTGAAAAACTATTTTTAATAACATAAATTAAAATTAAAATTAAAATTATGTTTTATATTTTCAAAATTTAATATATACTCATCTATTTAAAAATATACGGTATTTTTTGAAAAATTAAAAGTTGAATATTAAATGTCAAAAAAATGTAAGACGTTTTTAATGTTTAAATGTATAATTAATATGCTTTTTTAAAAAATTCTTGTAATAAATAAATTATTTTATATTTATTTTAAAATAAAATACTTTATTAGATAAGGATTGATGAAAGTCATAATCTGTGCACCTGTACAGATTATGTATGAATGAATGTTAAGCCAAAGAAATTCGTGACTTTTTCATTGATTAAAACAATGTTTCCACTGTGATTATATATACACCAAAACACCATAACAGAGACCAAATACACGGTCAGGTGTGCTCAACAAACTAACTAACTAACTAACTAACTATATTTATTCTCAACACTCCCCCTCAAGTTTTGAACTATGCAAATCAATAGTTCTCAACTTGGAAAGAAACCTATTATGAGACCCTTTTCCTAAAGCCTTAGTTAATACATCTGCTTCCTGATCAATTGAACGTACATGATGTAGAGAAATCTTTCTTTGCTGTAATTTTTCTCTCACAAAATGACAATCTATCTCTATGTGCTTGGTTCTTTCATGAAACACTGGATTCTTGGCTATATGGATTGCTGCCCTACTGTCACAGAAAACTTGTACAGGAGCTAAACTATGCAATCCCAAGTCCTTCATCAGTCCCAACACCTATATTATCTCAGAAACAGCAACACTTAAGGCTCTATACTCAGCTTCAGCTGAAGATTTTGATACAATACTCTGCTTCTTTGTTTTCCAGGAGATTAAGGAGTCTCCTAGCTTTAATAAATAACCAAAAATTGATCTTCTTGTAGTGTTACATGCTGCCCAATCTGAATCACAGAAGCAGTTCAACTTTGAATTGCCTTAGGAACTCAAGAGTATTCCCAAGCCTGGATTGTTCTTTAAGTACCTCAGCACATTCTTTGCTGCTGCCATATGTATTTTCATAGGGGTTTGCATAAATTGAGTCAAGTGATGCACAGAAAAAGAAATGTCAGGACGTGTCATTGTCAAATAGATTAACTTACCAATAAGTCTTCTATATTCTCCTGGGTCCTTTAACAGTTCCTCTTTCTTGTTCCTTCCTTCCTCATATGCTGTTAACCTCATATTATGTGCCATAGGAACCGACAATGGCTTGCAGCCACTCATCCCTGTTTCAAACAACAAATCCAACACATACTTTCTTTGATTCATGACAATGCCCTTATGGGATCTTGCCACTTCAATTCCCAGAAAATATTTTAACAAGCCAAGATCTTTAATTTTAAATTTGTTATGCAAAAAATTCTTGGTTTGTGTAATTCTATTTTCTGAGCTACCAGTGATCACTAGATCATCCACATAAACAAGGACTAAAACCACACCATCATGAAGTTTCTTAACAAATAATGAGTAATCATGCATGCTTTGACTAAAACCTCCCTCTTTTAAGGCTAAGGTCAGTTTATAATTCCACTGTCATGAGGCTTACTTTAAGCCATACAATGACTTATTTAGTTTACAAACTTTGACTTTACTTTCCCCCTTCCCAAGAAGACCCTGAGGTATCATCATATACACTTCCTCATTTAAGTCTCCCTGTAAAAATGCATTGTAGACATCCATCTGATGCAAACTCCAATTTTATTAGGCAGCTAAACATAGACCAGATCTAACAGTAACCATCTTAATAACAGGGGAAAATGTTTCCTGATAGTCCACTCCTTTCCTTTGAGAGTAACCCTTTGCTACTAACCTAGCCTTGTACCGCTTAACACTGCCATCAGATTTATATTTAATTTTGTACACCCATCCACAACCAATAGGCTTCTTTCCCTTTGGTAAGTCAACTATTTTCCAAGTGTTATTATCTTCTAATTCTTTGAGTTCTACATTCATAGCCTCAACCTATTTGTTATGTTTCACAACCTCTTCATACGTTTTCGGCTCTATATCAGAATCAATAGAAGATAAAAAGCATTTATGAGATGTAGAAATAGATTTATAGGAAACTTGCTGTTGCATGGGGTACTTGACATTATATGTGTCATAAGCAGAACAAACATAATCTTTAGACCAAACTGGAGGTTTCTTATTTCTAACAGGTCTAATTCTATGTTCTTCTTGATTATCAGCCTCAATTATGTCATCAATCTCTAATTCATGCAGCTCCTCTAGGTCATTCATATTAGGTAAATCATTCCTAATAAGTTTAGTATTATTAGAGTCATCTTTCACCCTCATTTGTTCAGGTTCATGCCAAAAAATATTATCAAAGATTTTAATATTACTAATCTGGTTACTCACAGCATAATCTTTATAAGGAAATTTATGTTCAATAAATCTCACGTGTCTGCTAATAAATATTCTGTTAGTTTTCAGATCGAGCAATATAAAACCCTTTTGATTAATAGGGTAACCTAGGAAAACACAAGGAATGGATCTAGATTGGAATTTATCTGAGGTATTTAAATCTGTAGCAAAAGCCAGGGAACCAAATATTCTCAAATTATTGTAATCAGGCAGTTTTCCATAAATGATCTCGTAAGGCGTCTTAAATTGTAAGACTCTAGAAGGCGTTCTATTTATTAAGTAGGCTGCTATTTTTATACAATCCCCCCAATATTGAATAGGCAGACCAGATTGAACAAAAAGACACCTAGAGACCTGAACCAAACTCCTATGTTTACGCTCAACTACCCCATTTTGTTGAGGTGTATAAGGACATGTGGCTTCATGTATAATTCCTTTTTCCCTAAGAATACTTCTTAGTTCATTATTTAAAAATTCTGTACCATTATCAGTTCTAATCCTTTTAATGTAAACATCAAATTGATTCTGAACATATGCAATGAAACTCTTAATGTTGGTCATAGTTTCAGACTTGTGCTGTAATAAAAATATCCAAGTAGCTCTAGAAAAATCATCAACAATAGTTAAGAAATATTGATGGCCTTGATGCGTGGGTACCTTATAAGGTCCCCACACATCCATATGTAACAATTCGAAACAGAAAGTGGACTTTATAGAGCTAACAGGGAAAGGCATTTTAGTTTGTTTAGATTGAATACAAGTCTCATAAGTCTTATTTTCTATATTCAAATGAACACCCCTTTTAAGTGAAGGCAAATGCCTCATTACAGGAAAAGAAAGGTGACCTAGTCTACAGTGCCACAGCCAAAGTTCACTTGATTCCTTTATTACATCAGAATTTTCAGCAGTATTTACGGCATGATCATTATCAGTCAGAATGTAAAGGCCTTGCACAATTTTACCAGTCGCTTTCATCCTGCCACCCTGAAGGTCCTATACTAAATAGAGGTCAGGATAAAAGGCAACCATGCAATGTTCTTCTTTAGTTAGCCTAAGAACATATATCAGATTAAAGAAAAGTTTAGGTGCATATAACACATCTCTTAGAGTTATGCCTCCAGATAGACAAACATTCCCTATGTGCGTTACTAAGACTCGCTGCCCATTAGGAATTTTAATGTTCTTGACAGGACTAGTATACTTCTCATAGGAATGAAAAAAATGCAAATCACTAACCATATGTGTGGTAGCACCAGAATCAAGTATCCAACTAGTCCTAGTTTTAAAAGAAGAAGAATTACGCAAACCTGTACCAGTGAGTGCATAGATGGTTGGCTTAGAATCCTTCCTTAACAGTTGCAATATTTGTTTATACTGTTCTTGAGTAAAGGTTGGCGCCACAGTTTGCCCTTCATCCACTCCATTAGTAGCCTCACCTTTTCCTTGATTAGCTTTAATCTCTTGAGACTGCTTATTCTTATTACCTTTGAAGTCAGCTGGATAGCCAATGATTTTATAGCAATTTCTTTAACGTGCCCACGTTTATGACAGTGAGCACATTCGAGTGAAGAGTTGCCACGTCCACGTCCTCTACCTCGGCCTTGCCCTCTACCCACAGCCATAGCAGCTCCTTCTATAGGTGAAGACTTATTTGACCCTACGATGAGTTTCTGAGCCTCATCTTCCATAATCATATTGTAGGCTTGGTTGACAGATGGAAGGGGAGTCATCAAGAGTATCTGACTCCTTGCTTGACTATAGGATTCACAGAGTCCCATCAAAAATTGCAAAAGACGTTGCTGTTACATTAGATCGAAATAAACTTTTAAAGTCTCACACTTATATGTTGGCCCCGCGATCAAGGAGGATTGTTCTTCCCAAAGCTCTTTCAGCCTTGTGTAATAGCTTGACACCGTGAGAGATCCCTGAACATGAGAGTTAATCTCACGGTGTATAGCAAATATGCGAGATCCAATAACCTTATCAAACCTTTCCTTGAGATCTGCCTAGACAAGAGATGCAATATGAGCATATGCCATTCCATTGGCTAATTCCTTTGAAACAGAGCTCAGCAACCAGGAAAGCACGATGGCATTATACCATTCCCATTGAGCATGAAGAGACGGATCTTAAGCTTCCTTCTTACAAGATCCATCAATAAACCCGAGTTTGTGTTTTCCGAGCAACGTAATCCGCATCGATCGACTCCATATGGTGTAGTTTTCAGGACTAGCAAGAACATGAGGCACGAGGGCTGATGCTTACGTATCGGAAGGATGAAGATATAGCTCATGAGTGAAATTGATAGGAGCAACAGCATTTCTTTCATCGCCGGGCATATCGAATATCTCTGTGATCTGTGAGAAGAAGAATTTCGAGAGGAAGAGGACGAAATATCTGGAAAGATGATGAAAGTTGTAGAACCTAGGGTAAATGAGAAGGATCGAGAATCGGGTAGATCGTTTCCTTAAGAGCTCAAAACGCACAGTTTTCACCCATTCTGTGCAGTGCATCGGGTCAACATACCGATGGATTCGGATTCTTGTTTTTCGGGTCCATTTCTTGAACTAGACACAGGTTCTTGGGCGATAGAATATCGTCTGTTGGAGAAGCTTCTTTATAGGTTTGCATTCTTGCATTTTTCGACCCATTTCTTGAGCTTCAGTTGTTGCAGATGGCTTTTTTCTGGCTCAAAGAATGACCTGGCTCTATGATACCATGATGAAAGTCATAATCTGTGCACCTGTACAGATTTTGTATGAATGAATGTTAAGCTAAAGAAATTCGTGACTTTTTCATTGATTAAAACAATGTTTCCACTGTGATTATATATACACCAAAACACCATAACAGAGACCAAATACACGGTCAGGTGTGCTCAACAAACTAACTAACTAACTAACTATATTTATTCTCAATAAGGATAAATATGAAAAAAATGGTATTATATAATTGACTATTTTATTGAGAACAAGATTCAATTAAAAATACCTTACATTTTTAAAATAAAATATTATTAATATTTTAGGAATATTCTAAAATAAATTTTGTGAAAATATATAAATTATTATTTATATTTATATATTCTAATAGCTAAAAAAATTCTAATATTATACTAGGAATAAAAAATATAATTAATAGAAGTTATTAAAGAATTTGAAAACTATAGTTATTTTCTCTTGTCTTTTAAAAATTAATAAAATTCAACTTTTATCCTTCTCTTCTATTTTTCTTAAACAACGTAAATTAATGTTCCTGTGCCTCGGGTATAAAATCTAATTATGGGTCAAGTGCTTTGTCTTTGTATTTGTTATTGCTCTTTGTTAAAGTGTCTAATTAATAATTTCCTTTTTAAATATGTCCCTCATTAAGATTAATTTAGAACAATATTTTTGGGAAATATTTAGCCATATTTTTGGAAAGAAGTTAAAACCTTGATGGGCCTCTTCCAAGCCTCATTGGTATAATGTTAGGCAAAAATGATTGTTGGGCCTTTTCACATCGGCCTTACGTCAATAGGACAAGTGTTCAGTCCTTGTTCAATTAAAGTTGTTCAATAGTTATCCATTGTAATACATCACTTTACCAAAGAAAACATCCATCAAACCCCAAATAAAATAAAGTTTGAAAAATTGACGTCTCCAGGCCGGGGGAAAAAAATTGACGTCTCATAATCAATATTAACACTAAAACACTTTAACCTAAATTAAACCCCTACTTCTCATTCAAAAGGAAAAAGAAAGAAAGAAAATTGAAGTGAGTATAGTTTGCATAGCACTCTTCAAAGGATTATGATATCCACTACTCTTGCCCCAAATCTGAAAAAGAAATCATCAAGCCATATCAATTCAACAATATAGAATGATTTGGACCAAATAGTTAATTTCAAATAGCAAATAAAGATATAAATGAACGGTAACAACAAATTCAATATGGAAAATGAATCCTTACCCTCAAGTTCATGGCAGCATTATTGATTGTGAGTTGTTATTGTGAAGCTTTTGGATTAGAAGATAGTACTAGTATGGCACACATCAAAAATCTTTCTTGCACATAAGACGCCAACCACAATCGTTGATGCTAAACTCTTTTTCAACCTCAATTTGCAATTCAAGTTGGCGGCAATGTCGCCAAAACTTGTGAGTATTGATCAAAGGAAAAAATGCTATGTAAAGATGAGGGATTGAATATGCTTTTCCCACATAAAATACATGATGTGGTTCCTCCAAGCTTTTATCTTCTTCAAGAGCTCTGAATCTCCAATAAAATTTGGATCTTGAGCAGTAATATAAAGCCTTCTTGCTTTTTACCACCAGGCACACAGCAATTCCCCACAATTCACTCTCATAGGAAAAATTAGGGTTATCTACTATTATAGATACACTTGCTCCAAATGGATCAATGTGACATTGTTGCTCTTTAAACACTGTAATTGGGATCTTATCTCCTGAAATATGCAGAAAAATGACTCCATGTAGGAGAAGACTACATGTCTACAAAAAAGGAAAAGTGTAGTTAAACATTAAATATATTGATGATTAATTCAAGACAAACAAGGAGACATACAAGTAACTTATGGTGAAAAATGAATTGAAGTTAAGAGAATCCTTTTTGAAGAGGTCAGGTTAGTTTTCTCTCCCAATCTTTTAGTCTAGTTGAATCCACACGCATACAAAGTAAAATTACTTTGTATGCCTCTGCGCGGGATAAAATCATTAGATTAGGGATTGTCCGAACCGCTTTGAAATACCTTATGGTAAAGTTAGAGTGAGAAAGAAAAGAGAGGTTTGGGCCCTGCTCTTATGGTCCTGACACACTCAACATGGGATTCATCACGCTCCTATCTTTCTCTAACTTTATTCTTCTAAAATACTTCAAAGAAGTCATATTCAAAATGAAGAAAATGAGAGAGAAGATATAACTTGTCCAGATGGATATGCCTCACACTTCTCTCCGTTTCATACTTCTTCACTGTCCCTCCATCACTGAATGAGATTTAAATCTGATATTATAGATGCATATATAAAGATAGAGAGATGGTGACAAACCTTATAGATAAGTAGTGATTCCAAGAGATGTTGCATGTCCAATAAGGGTTCAATAGAAGGGCAGCAACCAGCATATACTCTAATTAAATTAGGTGGAAGCTGAGGGAATGACTGAAGCTGAACACAATTACTCAAGTCAAATTGCTCAAGGTTAACAAGATTGGAGATGCAGCCAACAGGTAAGGAAGTAAAATTGTTTCCCCTCAGATTAAAATCCATCAATGATGATAAGCCGCTTAAGTCATTAGGGATTGCTCCATCGTACAGATTGCTAAAACTCAAATCCAGTTTTCTTAATGAAGAAAGGCCCGAGAAAGAATTGGGAAGCTTCAATCCCTTGGATACTGGATTCCCCAGAAACCGACCTATCAAATGACCAAAGTAGCCAAAAAAACTCCATGAATTCCAAGCTTGCCAGTTGCATCCATGGAGATATAGCTCCTTAAGATTTGTCAAATGAACAATGGAAGAGGGAACTTTTCTTATGTTAGTTCCACTCAGATCAAAGATGGAGAGACAATTCATGTTTTCTCCAAATTCAGGAAGCTTTTCAAGCTTTGAGCAACCATAGAGAGAAAACTCCGCCAGAGAATTTAATTCCAATTTCCTGGGAAGGATCACAAGATTTTGGCAACCTCTCAAACTCAACTTAACGAGGTTCTTGAGCTTCCCGAGAGACCCATGAACCTTAACTAGTTTTATGCAGTGTTCAAGAAACAATCTTTCAAGGTTTGGAACTCCTTTGAAATCTGGAGTTTCAGTTAGCTCCTTGGAAAAACTCAAGTCCATGAACTTCAACATTCCTAAAAACTGATCATAGATCAACAAAAAGAGAATATATCAGCTTCATCCAAATTCAGTGGTAAATTAAAGTAACTGATCTTTAATCACATAAAAAAGTGTGGAATGGAAATTACCGGTCTTCCATTCCAAAGTTCCTTGATTCTACTACGATGTAAGGTAAGGTCCACAAGTTGATATAGTTGGTCAATATTGCGTGGTAGAGTTTCCAAAGGATATTTCTCCCATTTGAGAACTTTTAGTGTAGTAGGAAGAGAATCGAGACCATGCAAAAGATGAACATTACTTAAGCAGAATAATCTAAGATTACTCATCTTTGAGAAGCAATTTGGGTGCCAATTTGCTTCAAATTGTTGCTTTAGGTTCAAAACTATACTTTGAACACTTTTGCTTCCCTGGTAATTAAACATGGGGAGAGGTTATTATAAGTCAAGCTTAAATTGAAGTATACATTTGGAAATAATGTATTAACTAGTTAATTATAAGTTTTAGCCCACATAAAAACCAGGCACTTACTGTATTCCCCCTAAAGACTTGATCAATCTGCTCCCAAGACCACGACCTACTGCGTCTGCCAGCATCACTCAGAGATTCTTGCAAAACAATGTTTTTTCCCATCTCTTGAAGAAAATCATGCATGTATACATGTTCTTGGCCATCCAATGAAATGCAAGTACTCAACAATGATTTTTCAATTAGAACTTGGATTCCAATTGTTGGATGAAGACCACAATTTTCAAATATTTTAATCACTTCAACTTTTTTCTCCCAATTAAAGAAGCATGCGATGTCTAAGAATATTGTTTTCAACTCTTTATCATCTAGCCCATCATAACTTATGCGAAGTGTCTTGAAAATATCTTTATGTAAATTTTGCTTTAACTTATCCAATGTGTCTCTCCATTCAGATTGACTTCTTTTACAAAGAAACGAGCCTAACACTTGGAGTGCTAAAGGAAGACCACCTGCATAATCAACCACCGTTTTGGACAATTCCCAATAACCTTGTTGAGGATAATCCATTTTGAAGGCATGCTTACACAAGAGATTGAGGGATTCACCTCTTCCTAACATCTTCATTTCATACTTCTCAAACTGATCATGTGCTATCAACAAGTGTATATCTCTCGTAGTTACTATTATTCTGCTTCCAGCACCAAACCAATCTTTATCTCCAACTAAATTCTGTAGTTGGCTTATATGACTTACATCATCAAGAACAATAAGAACTTTTTTATCACGTGAAAAGCTTCTTATCGCCTCAACTCCATCATGGGAGTCACTGATTTTAATGTTTTCTAATTGAAGACCAGAGAGAAACTTCTTTTGCAAGTAAACCAGACCATTACGTTCTGAATCCTCCCTTACATTGGCAAGAAAGCAACTAATTTCAAATTTGTCTCGGATTGTTTCATAAACAACTCTAGAAAGAGTCGTTTTGCCTATTCCGCCCATACCCCATATTCCTACAAAACATTTATGATTCAGCCCTATCTTCAAAAGAGAGACCATTGTGTCTACCTTTGATTGAAGTCCAACTAAATGAGCAAAATTTGAAGGCAATTTAACACGCAATTTGGTCCATATTGTTTCAGCAATATTTTTTACGATTCCTGCTTCATGCCTACATATTTCCGTGGACCAAGTTAGAAATAATAGTCGATTATGAAAATCACAATTAGTTAATATAGAGGATTGGTGAGCATATAAAAAATATGACTGCCATTAGCTGTGAAAAGGTATCTAAGAGGAGAAAACAAAGGAAGTTTTCTTTCCTATCGTGGCTCCCACAGCCTTCTAAAGAATGAGTTAGGATGTTTAATACCCAAACAACATGACAGTATATGGCCAAAGAATTTCAATGTTATCTGAAACGTCAAGAATTATTACCGTTCCTAAATTTCATTGGTATGCTTAAACACAATATATCGTGTTTTTTCGATAAAACAATATATCGGGTTTGAGTCTGAATAAATATAGAAAATCCTCCTGGAGAGTTATCTGGTTCTAACAATACTCGAATATGGCCAATAATATAGCTATATAAAAAACATAAAAAAAAATTGCAGTGGAATTTAAAAACTTACTTGTTTCTAGCATCCCAACCAGCGAAGTTTGCAACTTGTGTTAAAGCTCTTCTCCATCTTCTCACCTTACAAAGTGGAAATTTCCCTTCATGTTTCTCAAAAGCTTTCCTAATAATTCCCTTTTGGTGTCGCACATCAGACGGATCTACGCCATAAAAAACCGGGAAAACTGTCAAGTTTTCTTTGGATTCAACAATCTTGTGCAGTTCATCCAAACACCAAGACGAGAATGCATAGTCTTGGGACAGAACGACAATGGCAAACAGAGATTCCTCAATAGCTTTCATGAGATTCTCCGAAATAACCTGTCCTGATCCCTCAAGAGCTTGGTCGTCCCTGAAAGTGACAATCCCTTTTCGCTGCAACGCAGCGTACAGGTGGTCGGTGAAGTTTCTGCGAGTGTCTTCTCCTCTGAAGCTCAAGAAAACGTGATAGTTCAATCGAGCCGCCACGGTGGAGCAAGAACCACCAACAGTACTGGAGCTCATCAGCGCCATTGAAGAAGAATAGGAGATCAGTAATGGTGGTTATGGAAGATCAAGTAGCAGATATATAAATTATGAGCTATGATACAATATAATTTTCCTGTTTTATAATCCAATCCAAATGGCTATTAGTTACCCTTCGTCTTCTTTTCTCAGCGATGGCTGATTGAAGCTTTGACGAAAGGGAGAGACGGGTCCATTACTACATCGTTATCCTTTCTCAAGTCTGCTCTTCCGTCGGTGGGTGGTGGCAATCTAATAAATTAGATGTTAGGGACGGAGCAATGGAGGGAAAAGAAATAATAATGAAAAAATACATAAGTCCAACACTGTTGAAAATAATAAAAAAAAATTTGTATAAATCCTACACTTTTGAAAAGAACTTGCAAAATTTTTTTTTTTTTACAAAAACTTGCAAATATATTTACTTACCTAGTGTTACAAGGCAAATTTTTAAAAAGAATTATATTTAAAAAAATTAAATAATATTTTTATCCCTCAAGTGTTTACTCAAGAATATTTAATATTCTAAACTTATATTTAATATAATTTTTTTTAATATTTAAAAACAGTACATTGAACACTTTATCACTAAAAAAATTAACTTTAATTTTTAATTAATTTAAAAATTATATAAAAGGACATAAAAAATGATAGAAAGTGACTCAAAAGTATACATAAGTACTTTATTAAAATTAATATTAATTAATTTTTTAAAATAGGCTGATAATTTATAAATCTTTTTTCAAAAGTTATAAATTCAAGACTTATAAATTATCATATTATTTTAAAAATTTAACCCATATTAATTTTCTAATAAGATATTTATTTGTAATTTTATGTGTTTGTTTTTATAATCTTTGAGACAATTTTTTGTAATTTTATTAATAAACTAACAATTAAAATTAACTTTTTTAATGGTATGATGTTTAATACGTCATTTAAAGGAAAAAACTTGGACATTATGTAAGTTTTAGACATTATTACTCCTCCCTTTTTTTATATAAATTAAACGAATAGTTTAGAAATAAAAATATTTTTTAATTATTTTAAAAATATTTATTTAATTTATTAAAAATATAATTCAATTAAAAGCATATTATAATATTCAACAAAATGGGTCAATTGTATTTGGGACGGTGGGACGGTGGCATTAGGAGAATAGGAGCGGAGTTCAAAAGTCCACACCCGTATGTCCCAGAACGTTCTTTTCTTGACCATGATGCATTTTAGGAGTTGACTATGACTAACGTTTTCCTTTTCGATATAACTTTAAAAAATTATATTTGTTGGTAAAAAAAATCTTTAAAAAATTATATTTAGGCCAATAGGGCTGTGTAATTTTGGTAACAAAATTATATTCAAGGTTTTGCCTAACAGATTGAGGGGGTGTTGGCCAGAATTGTTACTCATAATCAAAGGGCATTTGTTTGTAGTAGATTGATTTAAGATAACTCGATTATTGCTCATGAAGCTTTCAACTATTTGAAGAACAAAAAGAAGGGAAATAGAGTGGAAATGGTGATGATAATTGATCTGCATAAAACTTATGATAGATTAGAGTGGAATTTTATTGAAAATGTGATGTGTAAGATGGGGTTTGGTGATAAGTGGATAAGGTGATAAGGTGGGTGATAAAGTGTTTGAGATCTGTTAGTCTTAATCTGTTAGTAGTTAGGAAGAGAATTGTAGACATTGATATGAAGAGAAGTGTAAGGCAAAGAGATCATTTATCTCTTTATCTCTTCATTATTGCTGTAAATGTTCTTTCAACAATGATTCAATGACATGTTAACTGTGACAAACATGGAGGTATTAAATTGGCTCAGAATTGTCCAACTTTGTCGCATTGTTTATTTGTCAATGATGCATTATTTTTCTTAAATGCCTCTAAGAAGAATTATAGTATTTTAAAACAAATTCTGGATGCTTATTGTTATGCTTCAGGACAAGCTCTTAATTTTGAAAAATCCTATATTTTCTTTTCTAATAATGTGACTAATGAGTTGAATTTTGTTGTTTATGATGCTTTGGGAATTAAGGCAACTGATGACTCAGGGAAATATTTAGGTTTACCTATGATCTGGGGTAGATTTAAATCTGAAGCATTGGCCCTTATGAAGTGTAAAATGAGTTTGAAGTTACAAGGATGAAAGAGGAGATTGTTATCTTTTGCAAGGAGAGAGGTGATGGTGAAGGCTATGGCCAATGCAATTCCAGTTTTCCTTATGACTTGTTTTAGGTTTCTTAAAAAGGTATGTAATGAATTGGAGAGATTGCTTTCTTTGTAAATTTTGGCAAGGCTAGAAACGGAGAAAGGGAGAAAAGTGGGGAAGGGAGAATTCATTGGAAGGCTTGGAATATGCTGTGTAAGCCTAAAGCTAAAGGGTGAGTTGGTTTTAAGGATTTTGAAACCTTTAATAGAACTCTTTTGGCAAAAAAAAAAAAATGGTTTGAAGGTTATTTCAAAATCCCTATGAGTATTGGTGCTAAATTTTGAAAGGGATTTATTTTTCCAAAAACATAGTTTATGAATGCTAAGAAGGATCGTAAGGTGTCTTTGGGTTGGTCAAGTATTTTGGAAGGAAGAAATTTATTGGCTCATAAGTTGTGTTAGAAAATTTTCAGTGGATCACAAGTTAAGATGTTTGGCAACAAGTGGCTTCTTGCTGCTAAAGGCTTCAGATCGAGTCAGAGAGATCTGATCGATGATGTGAAGGAGATGAAGGTTAGTGAATTTATAAGCAATGGTTCTTGGGATCTCTTTAGGATTCAAGTTGGTTAAGTATGGAAGAGCAAGAGTTGATTTAAAATGTTCGATCCTAAGTTCAGGTAGGGATGACAGATATATTTAGCTGGGTGGTAAGGATAGGGATTATTCTATCAAATGTAAGTACAGGGTGGCATTAGAGAACTTGAATTCTAGACTGATTAAGGATTTGAGTAACTCATGTAAGCCTTTTGGTAAATTATAGGAAGCTATTTGAGGTATTAAGTTGCCTTATAAAGTTGCTCACTTCTTATAGAGGGTAGCTAATAGAGCTTTAGCTACTAAAGAGGCTCTTTTTGAGAGGAAATGTGCAAGTAGTCTTGCATGCTTACTGTACATTGATCATGTTGAGATTGTTGATCATCTATTATTTTTGTGCCCTTAGGTGAAGCAAGTTTGGTTTGGCTCTCCTTTGTCTTTGAGGGTTGGTAAATGGAATGTTACAAGATTTGATAATTGGATGATATCTTGGTTTTTGTTTGATAAAGGATCTAATGTTAGAATTTTTTTGTAAGTAAGCCACTTTCAAATTCTTGACCAAATGTTAGAATTGTTTTGACCTTTTTAAGAAGCCATAACCTTAAAAGCAAATTTAATAGTAAAGCTTTCATTAGAGGAAGATCTCCAAACAATACCAACATCATTCCCTTAGGGATTGGGTGGTTGAACAAGTACAATGAGTCTTACCACCTTAGGAGAAAGGTGATGATTCAGTAGGCTAAAGTTCCATCCTGTTGCAGGAGAGAGATGGTTTTAAATCCTAAGATGTAGTAAAAAAGAGTAGAAGACAACAAATTCATGCATGTAAAGTATTTATGTAAATATAAAGTTACATGTAGGAATTCACTTATAACTTCAAGTTATTAGTAGCTATTTTTTTTAAACTTTTTTAAAAGAATATTTATATTCATGTACTCATAATTCATGCGTTGCAATCATATGCTGAGGGAGATAGGGATAAAAAATAGTTAATTCTATGGGAGGTTTGCACACCTATAATCTATATTAGGGGTGTTTAGCTTGGACCAGTTCCAATGTCTTATCCCAACTCGAAAATAATCAGGATAGAACTTTACAGGACGGGACAGGAAAGGGGTTCAAGATGAGACAGGACACAGAATTATCATCGAGATGTCCCATCTCGTCCCGAATATTATGTAGGTATTATTTTTTTATTTTAAATATATTAATTATATTAGTATAATTTATACTTATATTAATTATATCAATTATAATTTCAATACTTGTAATTTTTATTTAAAATTAAATTTTTTATATTGATAATTTTAATGATATGGAGTAAACATGGAGATATCTTTTTTATGATATATTAATTATATTATATAATTTATTCTTATATCTATCTATTTAATAACTTTTATTTATGACGTATTTCTTGCTTTATTTTCAGAAGAGTAATTGACTTAGTACATCTTTACTAAAGTAAAAGAATAATGATTTGATATTGTGCTTGACTTGCCTGTTGTTACTACTACTTATAGCTTAAAGATCACCTGTATTTGCTATTATAATGTGTAATTGTGATTAATGTAATTCAATAATTGACTTTAAATTGTTGTGATTTATATATTTGTGTTATTTTAATTTTAAACTTAATAAATTATATAATTTAAAAATCTAATAAATATTATTATCCAAATCTTTCTCTAATATTATTCGATTTATCAGGATGACGAGATGTCCCGATCTTATCCCGATCCTGTCCCGACTTCTAACGAGACGGGACACGGAATCAAAATTTAATCTCAATTTTTTTTTTTTTTTGGATGGGACATGAGATGAGAGTGTTTTGGTCCCATTTTGTTTTGTTTCATAAACACTCCTAATTTATATGCTTATTTTTTTATCCATAAAAAGGAGAAAAAAGTGCTTAGTGAATTTTTTATCGGAACAAGTGAATAAGTTCTCAAGGATAAATATCAGCACCAAAAACAGAGGTTGTCAAGGCTATGTGCATGGGCTCTATTGACATTTCTTGGACCAAGTGATGGGTTTGGATCATCTTTGGATGAAGTCCAATGAAAAGGTACTGTCGTCTAACAGTTTCAAACGGTGTCGTTGCCAATTGGTTCCGTCCGTTCGGATTTGGACAAAAGACATATGCATGTATGTGTATATTTTAAAAATAATTTTGAGTACTTATATTTTATTTAAGTTTTATTATAAATTATATATTTTTTTTATATTTTAGGTTCCTCATATCTAAAATAAAGTGCATCAATCTATAATAAAACTTGAATAAAGTGCAAGAAATGAAGTTATGTTTTTTCCTTCTTTTTTAATAAAAATACACCATATAATCTTTTTTTTTGTAAGTTTAGGTATAATTTAAGAATACTTTTTTATTTAAAAAATTGTAATTATCATAAATATATCATATCTGTTTAATTCATTAATTGATATAATTTAAGAATACTTTTTATTTTAATAAAATATAATTAAGTAAAAA